GGCTAAATCCCAGCTTCTTCTCTTCCTAAATAACTTTGTTCCAATCAACCTAAGCTTCAAAGTGAAGACAGTTCTACGTTCTCTGCCGAGCTCACAGGCCAGATCTAATGAGACATACTGAAAAGCCTAGCAAACTACACAGCATGCCGTGACTGTTGAGGACAGTGTTGCTGGCAGACAGGACTGTCTGTACCACCCTGACAACTCAGGTACAGAAGCCTACAAATGGCAACAGTAATTTAAATAACTTCACTTCAAATTGTGTCCTTTTTTTGTTGTGTCTGACTATGTGTGGTGCAACTTACTTTCCCTTTCCCCCACCTTTTCCTCAGAAAGATAAAGCAGCAGTCTTTCAGATATGGCATGCTAATGTGATCTACCCATTCCCTCTGGAGAAGGGCAAGGTAGGACAGAGAGTAGCTACCTATCTTTAAAAAAAAAAACCATATGGTTTCCGAGGCCGAAAATCTTTACGGAAGCAGACTGTCACATCTTTATCCCATAGAGCGGCTGGTGAGTTCAAACCACCGACCTTTCGGTTAGCAGCTGAGCATCTAACCACTGCACCACTAGGTCTCCTTAGCTGCTTATAGAGCACTCTAAAGGCTGCCACAAAATTAGGTGGTCCAGCTAAGACTGTTGGTGGAAACAGTCTGAGGCACATCTGGAGGAATGCTACACAATTCTAGCAGCAGAGCCAACAGAAGATTAGTCAGGGAGGGCACATGCATTCTCTCAATAATTCTGTTATCCTTAAAAAGCTCCCTCTTAAATGACTCTGTACTAGAAAGGCTGAAAGAAAATGGGACAGGCTGGAACTTACTTCCCAGTTTTGCCTGACATGGTTGCACTACTTGATTTTCATATACTTATACCACCTGTAATACTTCTTAATGACAAAAGACAAGAAAATCTGTTGTGCATAGCAAGTTGAAGATATTCTCAAATTCCTCACCTTTTATTTCTCTTGAGGAGCATTCTAACTTGACCTGTCACATAAAAAGAATTATCATTGTTCTATTTGGCTCTTACCTATATTCAATGGCTCTGGTGTAATAGATAATAGCAAGAGCAAATCTTTCTTTGGAAAATTCTTCATTTCCTTTTATTTTCATTATTTCTCCTTGCTGAAAAACCAAGGTGAAGAAGACCCATCAATTAACTCCAAAGACAGTCAAGAACCCCAATACCTATGAAAAATGGGTTTGGGTTTCTGTCTCTGATATTAGAAATAAACTGGGAGATAACTTACATAGAAAATGATAATGAAATACCATTTTGGTATATATATTTAAAGAAACTTGTCTCTAATGACAACACTAACTTCGTTAAAATATTAAAAAGTAAACAAAACCATCACATTAAGAATTTACTAACAATTCCCTTGTGCACAGTATTTGAGAGGTTTACTTTTACGTTTATCTTAGGCCTGCCATATGACACAGAAAAAAACATTCAAGGTAGAATTTTAATTTTAGGTTAGCAAATATGACATATAGGCAGTCTCCGGTTTACAAACAAGATCTATTCCTAAGTGTGTCTTTGTAAGTATTTGTAGGTAAGTCAGAACATGTGCATATGGTTCTCATTTAGCCTTACTATAGTGCAAGAAAAGGCTCAAAGCCTTTTCAATGATTTAAAAGCTGCACGCACAGCAAGTGAAGTTGATTGTGATGAAGAATTTGCTGACAGTAAGGGTTGGTTCAGTTGTTTCAAATTGAGGGCAACTTTGCGTAACATTAAAGGGCAAGTATGAATTGTCAGTGGGACTTATTGTAGTCAATAACCAGAGTGCTTAAAAAAAAGAAAAGACTCAAAAAGATACAGGAATGCTGTTTAGATTAATTGCTAAAGTAAATTAAGCAATAAACTGTTAGGAATATATATATGTGAGTTGGTACAGATATAACCAAAACTTTTCATTTTCAAAACAAATTTTAAAAAAACTTCTAAAATAAATTATCTAGATCATATCCATGGTGTTAGTGAATTCAATAGAATATTAAATGTTCTCCTAAACCCTTTTGTAAAAACAGAGCTAAAGTC